CCACTTCCATCTGTCCGGCATCTCACCACTCCAGCCTCTCCCATCAGCCTGCATGCTGCAGGCCAAACATCTCTTTTTCTGGTGCATTTTTCTTGAGAAGGAAAAAAATAAACCAAAACAGAATTCCCCTACCAGAACACATCACTTTCTTGCTAACCACAAATTCTGGCAAAATCTGCCCTATGTAGGAGAGATTCAGTTCCTCTTTCCTCAGATGGACACATTTTACCTTGCAAATTGTGTGTGTGAGAGAGACAGAGAGACAGAGTTCAAAGAGCATTAACACCAATTTAAATAATACTCACACAGCTACCCCTGTTACCAAACTAAAATGTGATACTATCCTAAGAAACACTTGGGATAAAAACGTAATTCTAGGGAATTTCCTGGCAGTGCAGTGTATCAGGACTCTGCCCAGGTTCCATCGCTGGCTGGGGAACTAAGATCCTGCATGCCACCAAAAAAAAACAAAACCACATGTGATTCTATTCTAGCAGAGCCCTGTCTCCATTAGCAGATGCTGAGATATAAAGAAAAATAATGGTTTCTGCCCCTCAGGAGCTGACAACAGAAATGTGTGTGACGGAGAGAAAGAGATTGACAGGAAGGTATTTTTTTGGCCCAAAGCAGGTGATACTTTAAGGTACAATTTAATCTGTCAAATGCATGCATCTCAAGCAACAGGTCCGCGAGCTGCCTGGCAAATGTGTTCAGGCAGCAGCAGCGGGGTGGTGGCGGGAGCAGGAGGCTTGCAGACCACACAGGCGCGCGGGCGGTGGGGCCGCTGGAGGAGGAGCAGAGCTCAGGTCTGGCCCCACAGAAAGCCCGGAGGCCCCCGCCCCCGCGGCTTGGGAAGACAAACAGCTCAGAGCATCCTAACCGAACAGCAGGCACGGCGTACATTCAGCGAGGGGCTACAGCAGAACTGAAACCGATCACTTAGGGCATGGCGCTTCCGCTGTCAAGGTCTAGAGCTCAATCCCTAGTCAGGAAACTAAGATCCCAGGAGCTTTGAGGCGCAGGGAAGAAGGAAAGAAGGAAGGGAAGACTAAGTTTAGGTCTGCAGGGTTGTAGGAAAGCAGGGCTGGGACCCAGTGGTAATCTGTATTCTTATCCAGTATGATGCAATTCCCCAAAATCAGATTAGACAAGCAAGCACCTATCACACTCATTCTCAGGCACTCCAGGGCATCCTCACTGAGCTTTACAACCTCTGAACAGACCCTGAAATAAACTCTCATGTTGCAATCAGAAAAAAGTGTTCCAGTCAATCAGATATTTTGACGGTTATGTTTTTTTTTTTCACAAGAAACCATCAGTTTTATTAACATGTAATAACGGTTATGATTTTAATATGAAATCCACAACAGGTCTAAGTCCAAAATACAAATAGAACTGCTACAAAGCAAAAAAAAAAAAAAAAAAAAAAATCCCGTAAGAAAATGGGCCAAAGATAAGAACAGTCAGCTCAGGAAGGTCATACAAGATCAAAGCATCACAAGAAACTAAACCTCACCAATAACTGAAGAAACAGAAATTAAAACAAAAATAAAACATGTTCTTAATTCCTCTAACGCTGAAGGAATCTTTTTTAAAACATGGCATTTAGTGGTGGTGAGGTGACGGGGAAAAGATGCGTTGCTGTTACAGGTACAAACGGGCCACAGTCATCAGAGAGGATAATCTGTCAGCATTTGTTAAAACAAGAAACGTGCAACTGGGCTTCCCTGGTGGCTCAGTGGTGAAGAATCCGCCTGCCAACGCAGGTGACACGGGGTTGATCCCCGACCCAGGAAGACCCCACATGCCGAGGAGCAACTGAGCCCGGGAGTCACGATATTGAGCCCGTGCTCTAGAGCCCAGGACCCACAACCACTGACCTCTGCGCCAGCGGGCCTGTGCTCCGCAAAAAGAGAACCCACCACGGTGAGAACCCACACACCACAACTAGAGAGCAACCCCTCGTTAGCTGCGCCTAGAGAAAAGCCCAGGCAGCAAGAAAGACCCAGCACAGCCAAAGATAAGTTTTTTTTTTAAAGCATGTAACGCTATGACCCAGCAATTCCACTCCTTAGGGTATTTAAGGCAGAATGTGGGTGGGTGCTCCGTCGTGTCTGACTCTTGCGAGCCTATGGACTACAGCCCACCAGGTTCCTCTGGCCAGGGGATTTCCCAGGCAACAATACTGTGGAGTGGGCTGCCATTTCCTCCTCCAGGGGATCTTCCCAACCTGGGGATCAAGCCCCAGTCGTCTGCATCTCCTGCACTGGCAACTGGGTTCCTTACAGATGAGCCACCTTGGGCAGCCATTATGGCAGACTAATGACCTCTAAAGGCCCACACCCTAATCCCAGAAAACATAAGTCTGCAAGATTACACAGTAAAGGAGAACTCAAGCTGCAGAGAAAATTCAGGTTGCTAATAAGCTGACATTAAAATTGGGAGAATCCTATCAGATTACCAGGTGGGCCCAATGTAATCCGAGGGGTCCTTAAAAGCAGAAGAAGTGGACAGAAGAAAGAGTTGGAGACAGGACAGGGCAAGAAAGGCGTGGCCTGGGGCACCTGGAGCAAGGGGGTTATCAGTCAAGGAATGTGGAAGGCATCTGGGAGCCGGGAAAAACCAAGAAACGGCTTCCCCCCCAGGGCCTCCGGATGGAACGCAGATCTGCCTACAGCTAGATTTCAGCTCAAGGAAACCTGTTCTGGACTACAGACCTTCTGAACTGTAAAATGATAAATTTCTGCTGGTTAAGCCACTTTGTGGTCACTTTGTGTGGTCATTTTTGTTTCAGCAGCAGCAGAAAACCAATACACAACGCTAGGGAAAAACAGGCATGGAGGCACAAGGAGGTGTATGCTGTCTGAGCACACGAGTATAAACACAAAAACGGGGTGAGAGGATCCACCCCAAACTGGTGAGAGGGGGTGAGTGCCGATCTGTAGTGTTCTCAGTTGTGTTTGCCTGTTGTTGTTGTTTTTTTTTTTGGAAGGGAAATGTAGTTGTCTACGTATTGCAAAATTGAAAGTTAAATTTTTAGGAAGGGAGTTATCACTCACAGCTTAAGCTTCCAGGCATTAGAATATAATATGATTCTTGGGACTCCCCTGATGGTACAGTGGAAAAGAATCTGCCTGCCAATGCAGGGAACATAGGCTGGATCCCTGGTCTGGGAGGATTCCACAGGCTGTGGAGAAAATGAAGTCCGTGCGCAACCACTCCTGAGCCTCCTGCTGCAACGGCGGCAGCCCACTCACTCTGAGCCTGTGCTCCACTGCAGGACAAGCCACCGCAATAAGAGGCCCACACACAGCAAGAGCAGCCCCTGCTCCACGCAACTAGAGAAAGCCCTCTCACAGCAACAAAGACCCAGAGCAGCCAAAAAAAATTTACCTAAAAAAACTTTTTTTTTAAACATTAAGGCTGAAAACCACAGTGAACATCATTTTTTCTGACAATCCCAAAGGCATTACAAAGACCTAGACCCCCACGGTCCCCACCGGTAATACTAATAGTGAGCTACGGCTGTGTGGACAGAACACCAGAGAAAATGAAATTCGCTGTATATCCATAAGCCACAACTTCTTCAACAGTCAAAACAAACCTCTGCTCAAGCATGAGGCACATATATCATGTTTGGATAAAATTCACTCTCAAAAACGTATTTTCTGATTGCAGCCCATCTAACCACCATCCCTACCACAACATACCCTTTTAACATTGTCCACTGTGGGTAGGCCACTTATCTCTGGGTTTTTGCTTTCCCAGTTTAAAAAAAAGAACAAAAAACTGCTTTTTTTGCTGTTGTTGTGTTTTTCCCCTACCACGCCACCTCCTTCAACTGGATGCCTAATGTTAACAAAATCACCTCGGCCCCTAACAAGGCCAGCTGCAAGTCTCAGAGAGCAGGGGTGGCTGACACCATAATGGCAGCCAGTGAGTGAGCCCTGCAGGAAACATTCAGGCTGCCCTTGACGTGCAAAGAGAGCCCAGAACGACCACCACATCCAGCAACTCTGAACTGCTTTACAATCCCCAGGGGAAGCAGCGATCCTGCTCAAACACTGCCTCACATTTCCAAATGTGACCTAGATAAGGAGTCCAGTGTGGGCACCTGATAGAGGCAGGCTGGACTGGCCCACGCTGGGCTCAAACGTGTGACCTCCTGAACACAATGTTCTAACCATGAGCACGAGCCATCACATGCTACCCCTTACAAAGCTACAAGTGAAAGAAAAAATAGAGACCAAGGGTGGGGAGCGGCGGGTCCAGTGTCTAAAGGTAGACTCACCCAGGGTCTTCAAAACACTTAGGCCAATCCAGAGCACTGTCCACCCCCACCCCCACCCCAGCACCTTCACTCCACTCCTACCTCCTTTTCTCCCTAATGAATCAACCGTCTCACCAGCCCTCCAGGACTCACTTTAAGCATGACCTCCTCAGGGACACCTTGCCAGGCTCTCCAAACGGAGTTTCCAACTTCTGCCGCCGCCACCACCACGAAGCCGCAGTAACTCACACCCACATGTACTGTCCCGTTGGAAGACTAGAGGGGGTACCCTCTAAACGGGGCCATCCTAGAAAAGCCAAGCCTCATGCACTAAGAAAAGCACTTACGGAGAAACACGGCGGGCTGGCAGAAGAAACGCCCAAGTCCTGAGCCGCCACAGTATGTGCCAAGGCCCGGCAAGTCCAGGGACACGCGGCGGGCAGGTGGGCACGCAGGAAGCGCGGGGCGGGTGGGTCCTGCGGCCCCGAGGGACCCGGACAGTCCGGGGGAGACGCAGGCAGAAACGCGCGGAAAGGCGCAAACCCGGACAGGTGCTGGGGTTCTGAGCCGCGGAGCCACGCGCCCTCCTGGGCGTGGACCGGGAGGGGCCGTGAGAGGGGAGGACCCAGCAAGCGCGCGGAGTCCGGGGCCAGGAAGAGAACCGAAGGCCGCAGGGCCTCAGGGGGCGCGGGCCGGAGCCACGCGGGGCCTGGGGGGATGCCTCCCATACCTGCCGCTGGCGGGTCCGCCTCCTCGTCCGCCTCCGCCTCAGCAGCTGCAGCTCCGGGCGCGGTGGGCAGCGGGTCCATCACGCCGCCGGTCATGTGAGCGCTCGCCACGTGACTTCCTCTGCGCCCGCCGGGCCTGGGCCCGGGCTCGCCCCGCCCACGCCCGGGTCTGCCCCGCCCACCCTCGGCATCGCCCCGCCCACGCGCCGGGCCTGTCCCGCCCACTCCCGGCGTCGCCCCGCCCACTCCCCCGCCTCTTCCCGCCCAGCCCAGGCTCAGCTGCCACGCGGAGGGCAGGTGGCGCGGTCCAGGCGCGAGCTCAGCGTCCGGCGTCCGCCGCTCCCCCGCTGCAGGTTCTCTGGCCGCTCCCTCGCCCGCCCGGTCAGTCCCCACCTGCCCTCTCTCAGGCCCCCACTCACTCATTCATCCATTTATCCTCACTCTCACCCTCTGGTGCGCTCGCTCGCTCACTTCCTCGTTCGTCCGCCCACTGGTCCATCCGCTCGTTCGTTCACCGACTCGCTCACCCGCTCACTCAGCCACCTGGGCATTCAGTCGTTCACTCACTCACTCAGGTCTCCGGACTGCCCCCTGGAGGCCAGGCGGGCCTGTGCATTGGTACCCTCCCCTATCTGGAGGACGGACAGGCCACCGGAGTGGAGCGAGTGTCCCAACTTCCAGAAGAAGACTGTGGGAGCGCCGCACAAGAGCACTCCCCCGGCCCCGGCCGGGTGAAGGGATCCAGGGATGCGGAGAGCCTCAGCTGAAGCTGGAGGAATGAGGAATTCGGCGGGAGGAAGGAGCGGATACCCACAGGCCCCGAGGCATCGCACAGCTGCAAACGCTGTGGTCTTCCTGGAGCTAAAAGCGGAGGCCGAAGAGGAAGCTGGAGCGACTGGTATACCGGGCTCCGTTAGGGAAGGCCTTGTTCCCAAGCTAAGGACCGTGGACCTCCTAATACCGGGACAACCGTCAACGCCCAGGGAGCCAGTAACAGCAGTCAAGAGCCCAGAGTCCCAGTCAGGGTCCTAGGAAGGAGTCCCCTCCATAGGGAGTTAGTTCTCCTTACTACAGCCACCGGATATCTTTGTGAGCCGACCAACAACGATGCTGTCCCCCAGTATAACTGAGGAAGTGGTGTTCCTCTTCCAGAGACCGGCCTGTAGAAGCTTTCCCAAGTCCCAGGGGGATGCTGTTTCCTTCCGCCACCGCAGGCTTCCTTTAAGCTGGTTTTGCATCAAATGATGTGCTCAGCACTTTCTCCCCTCCCAAGGGCGCACACACACACACACACACACATTGTCATTCTCTTGTCTCCCACTCCCTTCCTCTCTCTCCGCCTCTCTAACTTCCTGGAAGAATTTGCTACATATCTGTATCCTCCTCCCCCCACTAGATCATAAAATCCTTATTCAATGCTTAAACACTCACTGCACCTTGAAAACTGTGAGGCATTGAACAAGTATAAAGCTAGACATTACACAAGAATAACACCATGCATGCATGCTAAGTCGCTTCAGTCGTGTCCGGCTCTGCAACCCTATGGACTACAGCCTGACAGGCTCCTCTGTCCATGGGATTCTCCAGCAAGAACACTGGAGTGGGAAACGGTGCTGTCCTCCAGGGGATCTTCCAACCTAGGGATCGAACCTGCATCTCTTGCATCTCCTGCATTGGCAGGTGGGTTCTTTACCACTAGTGTCACCTGGGAAGCCTCACGAATAACAGCACATTAAATTTATTATTTTACTTGAACACCGCTGACATGGTCAGGCAGCCTCTGTTGTTCAGTGGTCCTGCACCTTGGCTGCAGTAATCACCTGGGAGCATTTAAATATACTCCGCCTGAAGCCCACCCTCAGAAGTTCTGATTTAATTGCTCTCAGGTATGATCTGGAAAAGGCAATGGCACCCCACTCCAGTACTCTTGCCTGAAAATTGCATGGACTGAGGAACCTGGTAGGCTGCAGTCCATGGGGTCGCAAAGAGTCAGACACGACTGAGCGACTTCACTTTCACTTTTCACTTTCGTGCATTGGAGAAGGAAATGGCAGCCCACTCCAGTGTTCTTGACGGCGGAGCCTGGTGGGCTGCCATCTATGGGGTCACACAGAGTCGGACACGACTGAAGCGACTTAGCAGCAGCAGCAGCAGCAGGTATGTTCCAAACTCGGGAATTTTTTTTTTTTTTGTAAAGCTCCCTGGATGATGCTAAGGTGCAACCCAAGTGGAAAACCACTGCTCTAAGTTGAAAGTTTGTTTTATCCTTGCAGACATTTCTTGAGCACCTTCTCAGTTGGGAATTCTGTTTGTCACGGGAGAGGAGAGTGAGGAACCCCACATAGGGATAATCAGGAGAGGTCCCCACCTCCCAAATTTTCTGATGGAATTGATCAGAGGAGCAGAACTCAGCAGGATTCCCACACCACACAGAGCACAGTGGGAGCTGAGGGCTGCAAACACGGGCACTGTGGGAGGAAAGATGGTTCCGATGTGACAGGCTGTGAATGCCTCCAGAAGGGAACTCAGCCCTCACGAGCTGGGGGCTCCACTGCCAGATATCGCTAACAGTGAGAGCATGCTTGGGAAACACGCATCGAAATATGTCTGCCTGTCATGTCTTTAGATCCTCGCCAAAGAAGCCTAATCCTTATGCTATTTCTGTTTCATTCAGGAAATGGTAAATAGAAAATGGAATTTCTGCTTTTTTAAACCCTTTGATTAGTGGCACAAATTCAAGTACATGAAGACTGTTAATGTGTTTTGAGTCACTTTTATCACTTTCCCTTCAGGAAAAGGAGAACTTGGGTAAGCGAACTGACAGAACTTGGGACGCAGAACACTGAAGCTGGGACTCCTGTGCAGGCGGACGTGCAGAAAGGGGCTCTTACTGGTCATCCTACCGATGCAAGCACCTCCAAGCCCTACTAAAGACCTTTCCAGAGAGTCACTAAAATGCCCCGAGGAGGATACCCTCCTCGAGGTTATTAATAATTGTGCACGTGTTTGTGAGCACAGGCTCGATCACACTGTAGGAACAATCTCAAGTCTCAGAGGCCAGAAACAACAAAGGTGTTGCGTTCACCATCGACCCGCAGAACCCAGGGTGAGAGGGCAGCCACCACGTTGAATTTCTGCCGTCCTGACAAAGGGAAAGCACTCAGAGCGTTTAGCTGCTCTGGCTCAGAATCACCACAAGGCTTCTACTCACGACTCGTTGGCCAGAACTAGTCATGGCTATGCCCAACCACAAGTGGAACACTTTACCACGCCCTTGGAAGAGAGCCAGCCAGAAACGTCTGATAAACAGCAGTAAATGCTAACCACACTAACCAAGCGAACATTTACTGAACATGCCTATTATGTACCGAGCACTCTTACATATGCCTTTTACTTAGAAACACATGACTCCTCACAGTAAATCTAGAAAATAGTAGTATGATTATCTCCATTTTGTTCAGAAAAGTTCAACCCTCTAAGACCCCACAGTAGTCGATAAAAGATCTGGGGTTCAAGTCCACACTGTCTGGTGCCAGAGACCATCCTCAGAGCCCCTGCAGCATTTCCCTCTGCTATAAAGCCAGCAATTTATCTTCAAATTTCCTAACCCACAAATTCTGCTCCACCCATAACCCCTTGTTTCGGGAGGCTGGTAGGGAAGCTGCCTATGGCTCTGTAAAGCAAAAAGTAGGGGAGAGGAAGAACTCTAAAAGTAGAGAAAATGATAATGTCATTAATGATATCAATCATCCCAAACTTTTTAAAAAATGCTTACTAGGTTCTGGGCACTATGCTAATTGATAAACCAGTATCACCCCATTTAAGACTGCGACGATCATGGAGTCAGGCCCTCTTCTGCCGCCACGGGTTGCCTGCTCAGGCAGTGCTGCTCCAGCATCCATTCTAAAATTCCCGCCTGAGGTAGTTCAGCAGTTAAGGCTCTGCTTCCATTGCAGGGGTGCAGGTTTAATCCCTGGTCAGAAAACTGAAGTTTCCATCCCTGGTGGAGGAACTAAGATTTTCAGAGAACTAAGATCCCACATGTTTCGCAGCATGGCCAAATAATAATAAAGATAAATAAATAAACATTTAAAAAATAAAATTTCTGCCTGGAGGAAAGGGGGTTGCTCACATCCTCCATGAGCCCCAGAAAGCTTTAAATATCTCAAACAAGTTGGCTGTCCTAGTCAAACTTTACATTTTGGGTTTCTATGTTTTTTATTTGGCTTCTTGAGATCTTGGCTCCGACACCAGGGCTTCAACCCGCATCCTCTGAATTGGGCTTCTCAAGTGACGCTAGTGATAAAGAACCTGCCTGCTGGTGCAGAAAACATAAGAGACTAATATTCGATCCCTGGGTCTGGAAGATCCCCTGGAGAAGGAAATGTCAACCACTCCGGCATTCTTGCCCGGGAAATCCCACAGACAGAGCCTGGCGGGCTCCAGTCCATGGCATCGCAAAGAGACGGACACAGCTGAGCACACAGATACACATCCTTAACCACTGGACCACCAGGGAAGTCCCTGTCCTAATTCGACTTTGGACAAGCTGCTTAACTTGCTTCAGTTTGCTCACATGCAAAATGGATATATCAAGATTACTTGCTCCAACGCGTTGCCCTGGGTCAAAGGTAAAGTTTTAAATAAGAGACTTCTTAAGATGGTCTGAACCGATGCAGAAGTACATTCACTGTGTTCCCTAAACAGAAATGCTAGCTAACATTTTACTCCCAAACTATTTTTTATTACATAGCTGGATTCAAAAGCAAGAAAGAGTGCCCTATAGGGGGGTCTTTAAGTTACAGGGATGGACGAAAACTGAAGAAAACAACTCACAGAGCTTTCAGAAATGATATAAGGTCCTAGGAACTTGGGTTAAGGCAATAGGAAGGCTTCGGTCCCAGCAAACACGGAAAACAGACCTGAACTTCCTAGATATAATCAGGATTGATGAAGGGATGACCTACCAGCAGCATGGAAGCTAGCTGTCCACAGTGGACCAAGAGTGGAAAAGGAATAATCCTTGAAGCAATCCCACTCCAAGATATTTACCCACAAGAAATAAAAGCATATGTCCACCAAAAAAAGGCTCATTCCTAGAAGCCACATGCAAAGAGCTGAAAATTGGAGATAACCCAAATGTCTATTAACAACAGGCTGGATGAACATATTGCTGTGGAGTCATACAATAGATTGCCACACTGCAATAAAAAAAAAGTACAAAATACTAATACGAGTACTGGGAAGTGGGGTATTGATATGACAAATACCTAAAAACGTGAAGCTGACTTCAGAATTAGGTGATGGGTAAAGACTGGAAGAATTTTAAGAAGCACAATAGAAGACACCTTGGTTGCCTTGAATAGACTGTTAGTAGGCATATGGATGTTAACAATTCTGCTAACTGTGGTAAAGAAAATCTGTATCATCTTAGATGATGATACTTAAATTGTCATAAACAGACTGTTGGTAGCAATAAGGACACTTCAGCCAAGGGCTCAGAGGAAATGAGGAACAGGTTGTTGGAAACTGGATGTAAAAGGGAACGTGTTCTACAGTGACAGAGAGCTTAGCTCAACTGTATCCTATAGTTATATGGAAAAGAACTTATCCAGGTTGCAAAGTGAAAGTCGCTCAGTTGTGTCCAACTCTTTGCGACCCCATGGACTACACGGTCCGTGGAATTCTCCAGACCCGAATACTGGAGTGGGTAGCCTTTCCCTTCTCCAGGGGGTCTTCCAAACCCAGGTCTCCCACATTGCAGGCAGATTCTTCACCAGCTGAGCCGCCAGGGAAGCCCAAGAATATTGGACTGGGTAGCCTAGGAGGCTCACTGTTGGGAAAGTGTGCTTTGGAGAGAAAACCAAGGCTGAACAGCACTTTTCTAGTGCCGAGAAAGGTACGGAACGTCACAGTATCTGGTGACACAGAGGGCTCTTGGAAGACATTAGGTCTCTTCGAAGTGAAAATAGAAATAGAATTATCTATCCACAGGAAAGACCTGTGGATGAGCCCCTTTTCCAGTGACGTCCATGGGAGAGCCATAGGTTCCTTCGCATGTTATGTCAGTAGAAATACTGCCAGCTAGGACAGACAGGGACAATGAAACAAGAAATGAAAGAAGGCTGCCTGACCCTCAAAATTCTACAGGCAGGAAACAGCCTCACAATACTACTCAGCTGCAAACCTGTGCTAACCCTTGATGAAAAAGCAAGACTGAGGGTGGGGCAGTGGGCCCAGAGGGCAGAACAGGAAGCCACAGAGGATAATTCCTAGGCCTTGAAACCTGAGTGCGCTCCACTGGATTTCAAAAAATTAGTATTTATTTATTTACTTGGTGCAACAGGTCTTAGTTACAACACACAAGATCTTTTTAATTTTTAAAATTATTTATTTATTCTTTTGGCTGCATAGGTCTTCCTTGCTCTGTGCAGACTTTCTCCAGTTGCGGCGAGTGGGGGCAGCTCCTCACTGCAGTGCGCGGGCTTCTCCTTGCGGGGGCTTCTCCCGCTGGAGAACCCGGGCTCCAGGCGCACAGGCTCCAGTGGCTGCGGCACACAGGCTCAGCACTTGTGGTGCGCAGGCTGAGCTGCTCCCTGGTGTGTGGAATCTTGAGAGTCCCTTGGACTGCAAGGAGATCAAACGTCAATCCTAAAGGAAGTCAACCCTGACTATTCATTGGAAGGACTGAAGTTGAAGCTCCGATACTTTGGCCACCTGATGCAAAGAGCTAACTCCAGTGGACAAGAGTTTGGGCAAACTCCAGGAGATAGTGAGAGACAGGGAAGTCTGGTGCACTGCAGTCCACGGGGTCACAAAGAGCTGGACACGACATAACGACTGAACAACCACCATGTGGAGTCTTCCCGGACCAGGGGTCAAACCTGTGTCCCCTGCACTGGCAAATGGATCCCTGCCCAGTGTGCCAGCAGGAAAGTCCACAGGATCTTTTTAGTTGTGGCATGTGAGCTCTTAGCTGTGGCATGTGGGATCTAGTTCCCTAACCATGGATTGAACCTAGGCCCCCTTCATTGGGAGCACAGAATGTTAGCCACTGGACCGGCAATGAATTACGTGGATTTCAAAATTGCTTGGGACTGCAATTCCTTTTCCATTCCTTCTCCTGTTTTGAATGGGAATGTCTGTAACTGTTCAGTTCAGTTCAGTTCAGTTGCTCAGTCGTGTCCGACTCTTTGCAACCCCATGAATCGCAGCACGCCAGGCCTCCCTGTCCATCACCAACTCCTGGAGCTTACTCAAACTCATGTCCATCGAGTTGGTGATGCCATCCAACCATCCCATCCTCTGTCGTCCCCTTCTCCTCCTGCCCCCAAACCTCCCAGCATCAGGGTCTTTTCCAAGGAGTCAGCTCTTCACATGAGGTGGCCAAAGTATTGGAATTTCAGCTTCAGCATCAGTCCTTCCAGTGAACACCCAGGACTGATCTTCTTTAGGATGGACTGGTGGGATCTCCTTGCAGTCCAAGGGACTCTTAAGGGTCTTCTCCAACACCACAGTTGAAAAGCATCAATTTTTCAGCGCTCAGCTTTCTTCACAGTCCAACATCCATACATGACCACTGGAAAAACCAGAGCCTTGACTAGATGGTCGTTTGTTGGCAAAGTAATATCCCTGCTTTTTAATATGCTGTCTAGGTTGGTCATAACATTCCTTCCAAGGAGTAAGTGTCTTTTAATTTCATGGCTGCAATCACCATCTGCAGTGATTTTGGAGCCCAAAAAATAAAGTCTGACACTGTCTCCACTATTTCCCCGTCTATTTCTCATGACGTGATGGGACCAGATACCATGATCTTAGTTTTCTGAATGTTGAGCTTTAAGCCAACTTCTTAACTCTCCTCTTTCACTTTCATCCAGAGGCTTTGTGCCATAAGGGTGGTGTCATCTGCATATCTGAGGTTATTGATATTTCTCCTGACAATCTTGATTCCAGCTTGTGCTTCTTCCAGCCCAGAGTTTCTCATGATGTACTCTGCATATAAGTTAAATAAACAGGGTGACAATTTACAGTCTTGACATACTCCTTTTCCTATTTGGAACCAGTCTGTTGTTCCATGTCCAGTTCTAACTGTTGCTTCCTGACCTGCATATAGGTTTCTCAAGAGGTGGGTCAGATGGTCTGGTATTGCCATCTCTTTCAGAATTTTCCACAGTTTATTGTGATCTACACAGTCAAAGGTTTTGGCATAGTCAATAAAGCAGAAATAGATGTTTTTCTGGGACTGTCTTCCTTTTTCAATGATCCAGTGGATGTTGGCAACTTGATCTCTGGTTCCTCTGCCTTTTCTAAAACCAGCTTGAACATCTGGAATTTCACAGTTCACATATTGCTGAAGCCCGGCTTGGAGAATTTTGAGCATTACTTTACTTGCGTGTGAGATGAGTGCAATCATGTGGTAGTTTGAGCATTCTTTGGCATTGCCTTTCTTTGGGGTTGGAATGATAACTGACCTTTTCCAGTCCTCTGGCCACTGCTGAGTTTTCCAAATTTGCTGGCATATTGAGTGCAGTGCTTTCACATCATCTTTCAGGATTTGAAATAGCTCAACTGGAATTCCATCACCTCCACTAGCTTTGTTTGTAGTGATGCTTTCTAAGGCCCGCTTGACTTCACATTCCAGGATGTCTGGCTCTAGGTGAGTGATCACACCATTGTGATTATCTGAGTCGTGAACATCTTTTTTGTACAGTTCTTCTGTGTATTCTTGCCACCTCTTCTTAATATCCTCTGCTTCTGTTAGGTCCAACTGTAACTGTTACCCTATACCTATCAGTATTGTATTTGGGGATTAGATCACTTATTCTCTAAGAGCACAGATGGAAAGGAATTTTGCCTCAGGATGAATCACACACTCAGTCCCACCCATAGCGATTTACATTATTCAAATAAGGAGTCTTGTGACTTTTGAGCTAATGAGATTTCGATAAGATTCTGGACTGAGTTGATGCTATAAAGGGTTGAGACTTCAGAGGATGTTGAGATGGGATGAATGTATTTTTTTTAATGTTTATTTATTTGGCTATGCCAGGTCTTAAGTGCAGTACGCAGGATCTCCGATCTCCGTTATGGCACGTGGGATCTTCAGTTGCATGCACACCCTTCCTTGCGGCATGTGGAATCCAGTTCCCTGACCAGGGACGGCCTGGGCCCCAGGCACTGGGAGTGTGGAGCCTTAGCCACTGGACCGCCAAGGAAGCTCCAAGGACTATCCTGAATTACCTGGGCGGGTTCAATGTCATTTTGAGAGTGCCGTACAAAAGGAATCGTCAAAGACTGTCAAAGCTGGGCAGAAGGCCATGTGACGTTAAAGATAGAGACTGAAGTAATGGAGTCATGAGCCAAGGAATACCAGGAGCTACTAGAAGCTGGAGGAGGCAAGGAAGGCGTTCTCTACTGGAACCTCCAAAAGCAACAGTCATGCCAACACCTCCATTTTAACCCTATGAGTCTTATTTCAGACTTGTGACCTCCAGATCTGTAAGACGACATTTTTGTTGTTTCAAGCCATTAAACTTGTGGTACTTTGTGCCATTGAACTGTACACTTTTAAAATGGTTGATGTTATGTATATTTTACAATTTGTAAAGAAAAAAATGGAAACTTCCCTGGTAGTCCAGTGGTTAAGACTCCGTGCTCCCAGTGCGGGGGCTTGGGTTTCGATCCCCGGTCGGGGAACTAAGATCCCATCTGCCTCGAGGTGCGGCCAAAAAGAAAAGGAAAAAACTTCCTCGTGAAGAAAACTCCTAGTCCATATGGCTCCTCTAGTGAATTCTGTCAAACTTCTAAAGGAAAAAAATAGTAGCAATCTAATGCAAGCAGGGCACACGCCAGGAATGCAGTGTTGGTTTCATTATCTAAAAAATCAGTGTAATTCATCATATTAACAGAAGACTCATATGCGTATCTCATATGCAGGAAGTATAAATTGCAAAAAAAAAAATAATGCAGGTAAGTTCTGACAAAATTTAACACCCGTTCACAATTATAACTCTGCAAACTAGGATGATAAGGAAACTTCTTCCTGGTAAAGAGCATCTCTGAGAGCCTCGCGCTACCATCATACATCAAGTGGAAGACTAAACAGTCTCCCCCAGGACTGGCAATAAAGCAAGACGCTCGCTCTCCTACTCAGCGTTGGCTGGAGGCCCCCGCCTGTGAAGTAGGCAGGAAAAAAGGCATAGAGATTGGAAGGAAGGTGCATATGGAAGCATATTTTTAAAATGCTAAGGAATCTTAAAAACAAAAACCCAAGTTGAATGAGAATAACTGAATTTACCAGGAATGTAGGACACAACACCAACACACAGAAATCTACTGTACTTCTTTTTTTTTTTAATATTTATTTTTATTATTTACTTGGCTGTGCCAGGTCTTAGTTGCAGCATGCAGAATCTTCGATCTTCGTTGCAGCATGAGAGATCTTTAGTTGCGGCCTTCCAACTCTTAGTTGAAGCATGTGGGACCTAGTTCCCTGGCCAGGGATTGAACCCAGGCGCCCTGCACTTGCAGCATGGAGTCTTAGCCACTGGGCCACCAGGGAAGCACCATTGTACTTCTACACAGTGTCAACAAGGGCTTCCCTGCTGGCTCAGTGGTAAAGAATCTGCCTGCCAAGGCCGGGGACACAAGTTGGATTCCTAAGTGGGGAAGATCCCCGAGAGAAGGAAATGGCAACCCACTCCAGTGTTCTAGCCCATGAGATCCTATGGACAGAGCCTGGGTGGACACCAGTCCGTGGGGTCGAAAAACAGTCAGACAGGACTCAGTGACTAAACAACAACATAATAGCAACAAACAAATGGAAAATTAAGAAACAAAACCATTTCCCCAACTCATCTAAACTCACTGAGTGAAGGACATCAAGAGTGAACCCTAAGGTGAACCACTGACTTTGAGTGATTACGATGTGTCAGTGTAGATTCGTTCTTGGTAATAAACCCACCATTCTGGAGACTGGTGCCGATGAAATGGGGGAAGTAATGCCTGTGGGGGCAGGGTGCACATGGGGATTCTCTGTATCTCCCCCTCAATTTTGTCGTGAACCTAAACTTCCCTTAACAAAATAGTCCTAAAGAAACTATTCCCCCAAACTCTTTCTGTAAGAGTCTGACACCAAAGTAAGACAAAGGCATTAAAAGAATATCACCTTAATACCAAAATCAAACAAATACATCACAAGAAGACTACAGATAACATCCTTCATGAACACAGACATGGAAGTCCTTAGCAAAATAGAAGAAAAGAAAACAAAATATAAGCAAGTCCAATCCAGCAATACATAAAAAGTACTTCAACCAAGTGAAATGCAAGTTTGGTGTAACGTTTTTTTTGTTTTTTTTTTGGTGTAACGTTTTAAATCCATCAAGGTAATTCGCCACATGTATTCCTTTCCTGCGGCTGCCCTAACAAAGCGCAGCAATCCGCGTGCCTCATCAGCACCACAGAGCTGTGTTGCCCACAGTTCTGGAGGCCTGAAGTCTGAAATCACGTTGGTGGTCACAGTCCCTCTGAAACCCGTCCGGCGAGAAGGCCTGCGTGCCCTCCAGAGCTTCCCGCGTTCGCCGCCGTCCCCGGTGCTCCTGGGCTCGTGGGCGCATCGCGCGGCTGCCTTCTCCCTGGGCGTCTGTCTGCACAGGCGATCTCGTCTTCTCACAGGGCCGCACCCGTCTCCGCTGTGCTGCAAAGCGACTCAGTCACACACACACATACATTCCTCGTTCTCTTCCTGAGAAGGAAGTCTGAGTGGCCAATAAACATGAAAGATGTTCAACCTCACTCTTGAGTCAGGTCTGCTGACACCTGTCATTTTTTGGTCATACCGCATGTGAACCTGCTTTTCCATGTTGGAAGAATTCCTTCCTTTTCGAGTCCCCTGACACTCCTAGAGGTGAAATGTCGGACGCTCAGTCCCAGCGGCGCCCAGCCAGGCTGACGTGAAGCTGGGGTCCGGAGGCAGAGTGGCCTCCACGACGGTGATAACTCACGGGAGCGACGCGCCTGCACCCCACATCTAGGGGGGTGGGGGCTGGGGGCTTCAACCAGCATCAGGGGCTGGGGTGCAGCTCTGACATCTGGGATCCGGCGTTGTCTTCACCGCCCATTCTTGGCCGGGTCCGCACATTTCTGGGCTGCTCAGCTTTGAGCCTGGTTTCCCAGCCCTCCTGGAGATTTTATCTACTTTTAATAACTTCCTTTTCTGCTTAAATCAGAAATCCACTTACATCAGGAAAATGCAAATTCGAACAGCAGTGAGATAGATACCCTTTCATGAACAGGAGATGAAGAGAAACAGAAATACTCCTACACTGCTGGAGGGAGTGCGAATGCTGTGGAGGACAAGCTGCTAACGTCTAATAAATTGGAATGCAGAGGTCTCATGACTCGGAAATTCCCCTTCTGGTCGTGTCCTCTGATCTACGGTGGGGGGGGCGACAAATACAAGTCTCTTCACTGCAGCACTGTGCGTGACCCACAGACACCAGCCTGCTTGGAGATCAGTGTGGAACGAAGGATACACTGCAGCGCATTCACACAATGGATGGACTAGAACAGCATGTACCAAGGTGAACATGGCTCTCAGACACCATTTTGGCTGAAAAAGTACCTTGCAGAAGGAGATGCATAGCATACCACTGGTGTACCTTTAAAGACACAGTAGGCAAACGCGGACTAAGGTGGGTAAAACAGGAAACCTGCGTAGGACAGGTGAATTGTATCACAGTTCTTGAGACCCCATGGACTACACAGTCCATGAATTCTCCAGGCCAGAATACTGGACTGGGTAGCCTTCCCTTCTCCGGGGGATCTTCCCCACCCAGGGATTGAACCCAGGTCTCCTGCATTACAGACGGATTCTCTACCAGCTGAGCCACCAGGGAAGCCAAGAATACTGGAGCGGGGGGCCTATCCCTTCTCCAGCGGATCTTCCCGACCCAGGAATCGAACCGGGGTCTCCTGCACTGCGGGCAGGTTCTTCACCAACTGAGCTACCAGGGAAGCCCCTTCCACTTCACTACTGCCCGGCTGGGATGCTACATGGTGATTTTGCATCATTAAGGGAAACTAGGCAAATTGTTTTATTTCTCACGACTGTCTGTGAATCTACAATTAAATAAGTAAAAATTTTGTTGAAAGATACCAAACAATGTATGTATTACTTATAGATACATGATGGCTCCTTCTGGGCCGGGTGGGGGTATGTGGGGAAGATGCAGTTTAGAAGAGATAGAAAGGGGCTCTGAATCTTTTTCTTTCCCCCTTAGAAAGAAAACCCTTCAGGCAAATATGGCAAAATGTTAACATTTAAAAATCTGGATGTAAGTGAATGGGTATGTATATGTTACTCTGTACTTTGAGTTAAAAAGGGCTGAAAAGGTTAAATGAGACAGTGTTCATAAAGTATCTAAGGCAGTGCCTGGCTCCTAGTGGGTGCTCAATAAATCCTAGTGCTCTGGGTGATTAGATACCAGGAGCTAGGGAGGGGAAGGTTTGGCCTGGCTCCGGAGAAGCACCGTTTCCTCCTGCTCTCCGCCCACCCCCCCACTCGTCCCTCCTGCCAAGGGATACAGCGTCACAAGCTCCGCTTGTCTTCATGAAGGACCCCCGTGAAGGCATGTGTCTCTGAAACAGGGAGGCTCTTCTCATCCGCTGTTCGGTCGCTAAGTCGTGTCTGGCTCTGCACCCCACAGACGGCAGCACGGCAGACAGCCGAGTGGAGCACAGCCTCTGAGACGGGAGCCTGGCTTAACTGCCCCCATGCCCGTGGGGACGCCAGCATCCCCGCCTGGGGGCTGTCCCAGGGACCAAGTGAGCACCCACGACAGTGCCCGGAGCTGGCGTCAGCTACCCCAGGACCAAGCAGGACCCAGGCAGAGGCCCTGCCCACTCCAGGGACCCCACGACCTTGTTTCAAAGTTGGGGTTTTTGACCAGTTCACAGCTAGGAAGTGGCTCGGATGCGATGAATAACTCGCCCAGGGTCTCCAGAGCTCAAGGCGGACTCTGACTGAGCTCCCTTTGAAGAAGCTGAATTAGCCTTGGGTGAAGGCAGAGGTAGGTTGGGTCAGGGGAGAAGGGGAGAGGTCTGGGGGATTTGGGCCAGATTAGACCCTCCTGTTCCATCTTACAGCCCTGTTCGGATACAACATCCTAGAGAAACGACTGCAGAACTCGTCTTTGGGCTTTCCACGCGGTCAGAGAGTAAGGGAAGAGAGAAAATACAGCCCCATTTCATGGACTGAAAAGGGCGGGCTGAGGGCACCACCTGCAGGCGACTTGTTTCTCGGCCGACTCACGTTTTTCCCGAGATCCTAGGAATCACTTCCTCCGGTGGGAGCATCAATAGCGCCTCTCCTTCCCACTCAGCCCCCACTTCTGGCTTCCCAGGTCTCAGCACAAATGCGTCCTCTTCCGAGGCGCCCCCAGTCTGGTGCTGCCTTCATCCTGCCCCGCCAGGTTCTGTTTCTCTCCATGGCCACTCTCCACTCTCCAGCTTTCCACCATCTCCCAGCCAGAGCAGCAGCTCCGTCAGAGCGGAGGCCTTAACTTGGCGACTCCAGCAGGCTGGCTCTCAGTGAGCACGTACTGAATTCATCGTATACAGTCTGATATTTATTCTTCCTATGCATATACTAACATTTACTTAATTTTTTTCAAATTTTATTTTTTGGTTGCACCTCATGGCATGTGGGATCTTAGTCATCCCAACCAAGGATCAAACTAGCGCCCCCTGCATTGAAAGCACAGACTCTTAAACACTGGACTGCCAGGGACATCCCTACTTATTTAATATTTTATAAAACAGAAATGGAATATTGCACATATGATTTTGCTACTTGATGTTTTCCTTTAACAACATGCTGTTGATTGACTATAAAACCCTTATGAGAGGGTGGTCTCTCCAGCCTAGCTCCACTCACTCACTCATTCATCCACCCGCATTTAGGGAGCATGTGCCCCACACTGTCCAGCACAGCACAGACTAGCACAGGGGACTGTGGGCACTTGACAGGCAGCTAGTGAACCTGGCACCGTCGACTCAATGGACACGAATCTGAGCAAACTCCAGGAAATCCACGGAGCCCACGGGGTCCCAAAGAATCAGACATGACTTAGCAACTGAACAAAAACAACGTGAGTACCTCGGGAACCAAATTTTTCATTTTATTTCCTTTAAATTAATTGAAATTTAAAAGCCATCCTCATTCAGCTATGGGAGAACTTTCAAGTGTGTTTGGAACAATTTGGGTATATGGATCTACTTTTTCTATTGTAAATTTTATGAAATCAAAATACAGATCAAGTATTTCGCTGAAAATTTAGTGATCGGATTGAGAAGTTCTGTAAGTAAAGTATGTGTTGGACTGCCAGGACTTCAAATGGGAAAGAAAGAAAGAAAGTGAAGTCGCTCAGCTTTGCCACCCCATGGACTGTAGCCTACCAGGCTCCTCTGTCCATGGGATTCTCCAGGCAAGAGTACTTGAGTGGGTTGCCATTTCCTTCTCCAGGGGATCTTCCCGACCCAGGGACCGAACGCGGGTCTCCCGCATTGCAGGCAGTCGCTCTGCCCTCTGAGCCACCAGGGAAGCTGGAAAAATGGAAAAATGGATGTAAACAGTCTCAGTGATTTTAATATTGATTATATGTTAAAGAAATAATATTTGAATACATTGGGTTAAACGAAACACATTATTAAAATTGACTTTACCTATTCTTTTTACACTGAAGAATTGATGCTTTTGAACTGTGGTGTTGGAGAAGACTCTTGAGAGTCCCTTGGACTGCAAGGAGATCAAACCAGTCCATCCTAAAGGAAATCAGTCCTGAATATTCACTGGAAGGACTGATGCTGAAGCTGAAGCTCCAATACTTTGGCCACCTGATGTGAAGAACTGACTCATTGGAAAAGATCCTGATGCTGGGAAAGATTGAAGGCGGGAGGAGAAGGGGATGGGAGAGGATGAGATGGTTGGATGACATCACTGACTCCATGGACATGAGCTTGAGCGAGCTCCAGGAGTTGGTGATGGACAGGAAAGCCTGGTGTGCTGCAGTCCATGGGGTCACAAAGATTTGGACACGACTGAGCGACTGAACTGAACGGATTCTTTTTACGCCTCTCAGGTGGTCACTGGATAGTTCTAAAATTACATATGTGGTTCACATTGTGCTTTTGCTGGACAGCGTGCTGGCTACGACTGCACTGCGAGCGAGACAGGCTGCTGCTCAAAACGAACCTTCACCAAAGGGTCAACGTCACTATAAAGATTTCTCTACATCAGGGGTCCCCAACCTCTCAGATGTAATACCTGATGATCTGAGGTGGAGCCTATGTAATAATAGAAAGAAAGTGCACAATAAATGTAATGCACTTGAGTCATCCTGAAACCATCCCCATGTCCTCCCCAGTCTGTGGGGAAACTGTCTTCCATGAAACCAATCCCAGGTGCCAAAAAGGTTGAGGACCGAGGCCCTGTATCTACGTCCAGCCAAGATCCGGTTCAGCCAGGTCCAGGCGCTCAGGCGTGTCCGACTCACTGCGACCGCGTGGACCGCAGCGCACCAGGCCTCCCTGTCCATCACCAACTCCCGGAGCCTGC